CTCTCTCTCTCTCTCTCTCTCTCTTATATATATATATATATATATATATATATATATATATATATATATATTATTTTTCATCGCTATACATCGGTATTGTTTTTACTTTACTATATACAACATTTGTGCAGAATAGCGAGATCTTTCTCGTTAAATTATCCTTCTCTTTTAACGAAAGCTCAAAGTATGTGTCCGTATGTTCCGTTTACCGCCACATCTACCTTCTTCTCGACCGTAAACATTGCATCTAAATATAAACGCGTCCTTGGTTCTTACACGTAAATGTATTTCGCGAATCTGGCGATACATCGTACATATACGATTCTCGTCGTTTTCTTGCTTTTTATATTTCGATATTTTTCTTATTTTTTCTATTTATCTAATTTTTTTTTTTTTTATTTTATTTATTAAAGTGATTCGTTTGTCGAGAGAAAACAAAGAGATGTATCGAAACTATTTCCTTTTCGAAAAAAAAGAATCAATGACGAAATCAAATTATATATATATATATATATATAAAATAATTTTACGTTTATCACACTACGTCGATAAATATGTGTAATAAAGTATCGTTTAGCGTATAATATCGTTCAATTCGTTATTCGTTAATGTTCGTCGTCTTTGAGAAAGATTTGTATCTCTATTTCTTCTTGTATCGTGTGAAGTGGACACGAAGATAAAAAGAAGATAGAAAAGAAAGATAAAAAAAGAGCGTAAGAGCGTAAGAACGAATTTAAAATTTGAGGAATAAAGAACGAACGAAGAATGTAGAGCAACTCGATTACTTTACTTTTTCGCCGAAGATGATTATATAACTTGTGATATAGTTGCGCGACAAATGTACAAAATGGACGAGATCTTGATCGTTTTCGAGAGATAGAGAACAGGGAGAGCGTGTTTTTAACACGTTACCGTTTTTGATGTGTTATCCGGAAGAAAAGATCGCGACTCGGAGGACAAGAATCGAATCTCGATCCAAATTGCACAATCTCTCTATTTTGGTTTTCTTATGGCTATAATTTGGCCTTGCTCCAAAATTGAGAATACCTTTTAGGCGACTCGTTACTACCACTCCTCCTTGATAAACTGTCAAATCGCCACGCGATTTGTACACGTTTATCTCTTGCACAAAACATTTCATTAGAATTTGAACGACAACGTATATATCTACATACATCTCGAATATCGCGATGTAAATGATACAAACAGTTTCTTTTTTTCTAAAAAGAATTTTAACACAACACGAACACGAAGAAACTTCACATGCTTATTTTGCATGCTCATTTTCATCTTGAGTCATTGAGATTTGAATTTTAATGAATATATTACAAGTTATATATTTTCGGATTAGATTTTTTTTTTTTAAATTCGTAAATTTGAATTTCTTTTACGAATTTTGTACAACAAGCAAGGTATATTTTTGTATATCATTCTCGTTAGTTTATAATGTACGTGTATATATATATAAATAATAGATCAGGTTTTTTGAAATTTTAAATCATTTCTCGTACTAATTGAAAAGAAACGATCGATCGTTCTAGTTAGAATATACAATTAAAACGTATTATAAGAAATATATATCAGTCCGAAGAAGAGAGATTAAAGTTTTTTTTTTTTTTTGCATAAAATCAATTTGTTTTCGATGGTTTTCAGTCCACCAACGTTTAAGACTGCAACACCCACCTCGCGTACACAACTGAAACTTCAGCTGATGCGAGAACAGCTGCAAGAGCAGGAAAGGCGAGAAGCTGAATTTCGTCAGAATTTGCAGCAACAGAGACCAACCGCTGCTCCTCCCAGGCCAGTACCTTCTACCTCACTCTCGACTATCGGCGTAGACGTGCCACCACAAGTCTTACAAGTATGTTTATTTTATCTCGTTATCTCGTTGTCGCGCATTCCTTTTTTTTTTTTTTTTTTATTTACCGTTTCTCCCTATCCCAAACTTCACTCCACCTCTTTCATCGTCGTTTATTTTATCGTCACCTTTATAACCTGTCGTTCCTTTTATATAAATATCTTTCATACACATAGAAATATCGTGCACGAACGATACATCCGATTATTTATCTCTTCTTTTTAGATCTCTACTTTCCAAATATATATATATAGGAGAACGATGAGAATAATAATATAATAGTTGGCGTGTAGCGGTTCATGAACTTTTAAAAATCAAAAAAGGACAAGTGTAGTAGCGGTGTTTTTTCCCTTTTCGCGCAAATAAACAAACCGATTTAAAGGCCAAAGAGTTGTAAATAATAATAAAGGTAAAGAAAGAGGGAACGAAATTAGGTATATAATTTTTGCTCGGTACAGGTGCGGACATTATTGGAGAATCCGACTCGTTACCATGTCGTTCAAAAGCAGAAGAATCAAGTGCGGCAATACCTTCACGAGTCGTTTCGCGGTAACGGCACGATCAGCGCTGGAGACGGGAACGTTCTCGGTAGAAATTCCGTGGAAGGCGTGCCGACATCCGCACCGATGATAGTGCAGAGCGCACCACCGGGTCCAACGGTGCATCATCCAAAGCCGCAGCATCCTCATCTGGCTTCGTATCCACACGGTCCCACGGTGTTGCCGCTTGGTAATCAGGTTGCGGCCAGCCCGGATCCTACCACCGGTGCTATGTCACCGGGTCTTTCCAGTGTCGCGACCAGCAATTCCGAGGTAATTTATCTCTCAAAATTTGAATTTCCTCCATTCGTTCCTAAATACGTTCCACGTATACACACTGGCTAGTAACCGGGTCGAATGATCGAAAGAAAACGGAAGAAAACCTCGATTTTCGTATAGGAAAATGAAAATATATGGAATCGAAATAGACAAGGAAAGAAAAGAAACCACGAAGAAGCACGGTTGCTCGATACGGTTTGAGCGGTAACAGTGTGTCATTAGGATAGAAAAAGAAAAACTAGATGCGCATAGCACAATTTGAAGAGTAAGGTTGAATGCGAAATAGAAGTTGTGATCATATTCGTAAGTATACTTGACATCCCGAAGGTTGAATCGATCGTACGCTCGCTTTCTTTTTCTTTGTTATTCGTCTGGCATCGAAAGTCGGCCAGAAACATACATACGTATATACTTACATATAATGTTTTTCGCCTATAGTTTTCGATTATAGTTACGTACCACGTTGTATCTCTACAAGAAGAATAGATATTTTCTTTTTTTTTTTTACACACGACATAGATACGACTTGCGAATCCTTCTTTATTTGGCGAATTTTTGTGTGACTCTTTTCTTATCGTGCAAAACTTTTCGTTAAACAATTCTTTCCTATTTACAATAATAATTTACAATAATAACCTATAATCCTGCGATTTATTATCGATCTATCAAAAATATCACTATCCTCGTGTTTTTTTGACGCAAAAACATCCCGTATGCGATACGATTCTCGAGAAAAAAAACGAGAAAGAAAAATATAAAATACGTTCCGTCAGCTTGATCGGTTAAACTTTTTTTTTTACATTGCTATCTTTTTTAGCTACGCTCGGCTGTCTGTTGCATGCAATATTCCACGAGCACGCCAAACAACTGGGTTAACGGAGAAACCGAATCCGTTACCACGATTCAATACCTAAGACGCGTCGTACAACCGACTCGACGAGAGTAGAATAAATAACAGAATCGAGAGAAATTTGACGCAACGCAAAAATTTCGTTCGTCACCGATCGTTTACAACGAAATATAACGATATAGAAAAGAATGTGTGTCGCGAAACGAACGGTGAAAAAGAATGGGAGAGAGATGCAACGAATCGACTCGAAAAGTATTTTTAAGATGGATTAAGAGAAAAGGATGGAAGGATTGAGTGAGAGTGGGGGGAAGGAGAGAGAGAGAGAGAGAGAGAAAGAGGGGGAGAGAACGAACAAGAGAAGAAGGAAGGAACGATGGAAATGGGATATCGAATCGAGCGACAGAGAGCGAAAACGCGTGTACTACAATGTGGTTATGCGGTGAACACAATAGTTGCGGAGCGGAATAGTAGGGGATATCGGATAGAAACGGTAAGTTAACGATAGCCGATAGCGCGCAACAGGCGTGGGGCATGGTAGAGCGTCGGTGGCGCGTGGCGAGCATTCGAGCAGTAGCGAGCAGTAGCGAGCAGTACCGAAGCGAGCCGATCGACGGTGGAGGTTCGCGCGCGAGAGCAAACCTTCGTGGAGCGTCGTTGGTGGTTCGATGTTCGTTTCGCGACACGATTTCCACGTCTTCTCTTTCCTCTCGTTTCCTTCTATCGCCTCCATCGACGGACGCGACGTAATTTCACGTCTTTTCGCAACCGACTCGACTCGAGGGGGTGAGAGAGAGAGAGAGAGAGAAAGAGAGAACCACGTCGGATCATCCAATGCGGAATATTTTCGGATTCGTCGAGAGGAAAACACTCCGATAACGACGACAAGAGGAAAAATTGCCGATCCGCTGAAATATCTCATCTTGAAAGATTAACACCGTCATCGACACTTCGATATTATTTATTTCGATCGTTCTAATCAACTCGTGTTGTTCCTGTTCGTAACACGGTATCTGCGGATTATTTTTTTTTTTTTTTTTTAAGAAAAAAAAAAAAAGAAAAGAAGAAAAAGTAATGCGTACTATTGCGATGAGCACTATTTTTAAATTTATCGCCTCGCACAATTTGGAGCCGATAAGCCGACCGTTTTTTTTTCGGACAATGGATTCTTTTTAACGCGCGACACATTCGTCTCGCCTCATCCGATCATCGTTTTTCCATTCGTTCGCACCTCTTCCTTCCGTTCTTCGTCCTTCCCTATTCTTGTCCCGATTCTTGTCCGTTTCGAAAAACGCGCGAGACACGATATTGGGTAACCGCAACCTTGAGGTGCGCTTAATCGCAGGTAGCCGAGTCGCGACGAAGTGGCGATACGAAGAGAAAACGCAAGTTCGTTGTTCGAAACGGCGCGACGCGTTGCTCAAAAATGCACGCGTTCCTCGATCGATCCGCCTTTTCATCCGCATTCCTATTCGCGTTCGTTTCGTCGCCAACCTTCCTCTACCATTGAATCGGTTAAGAATCGTTCGTCAAATCCTTCTCGTTCCTCCTTCGTGCCTCCTCTTATATTTTACGCACCTTGAATATCGCGCATCGAGGGAAAAGAAGAAGAAGAGAAGAAGATCGTCGTGGAGAATTTTCGAAGAAGGAGGGAGAACAGGGAAAGAGAAGGAAACGAAGGAAAAGAAGATTAATCGTATCTTACTTACGATGATAATTACGAAACGAGAGGCAGCGAGAACTAAAACTATTGCGATGACGTCGAAGATGGCGACAGTGGCTGTGACAATGAGAACGGTGACAAGGATGATAGTGATGACGATGACATGAACGAACGCGATAACGGCGATACCGGATCTCTATTGTTCAAATTTTCAAGACGAGATAATTTCCAGAGATTCAGTTCCAACGATACAGTTCTATCGAAATAACTCAACAACGATTGCAACAACGATCGTACATGCAAAATATGGTTTCTTTTTTTTTCTTTTTTTTTTGAACGTTGAAAGAAGAAGTTGAGGACTAATAACATTTTTATTCCATTCGTCGCCATTCTTCTCTACGTTTGCATATTCGAATCGAAAATACCACTCACGCATACCACGAATACGCGCGCCTCCTAACCACGTGCACGCATGCAGCAGACCCGCCCGCGCATGCCTCTCTCGGTCTGACCGCATACGAATACACACGGTTCTTCTTACTTTTTCATCGTCGGATTTTCTTTCAAGCGGCGACAACATGCCGGTATTCAATATAATTACCCGCAGGTGTAAGGTGAGTTTTATTCCATTCGTTTAAATATCATCTCCGATAGTGATCTCCGTAGAACGTGTATCTCTCTCTCTCTCTCTCTCTCTCTTCCGCATCTCATTCCGTATATTTTTCGCGTACATCTTTTTCCACGCGGTTTTTCGCTCCCGTTAATTGCACCGCGTTATTGCGTTATCGCGCTATTCGATTATTGGCGTTACATTTCACAACACGTGCGCGCGTATATCTCGAACCGAGCGGATGAAATGAATCGAATACGTAGCAATACGTCGTTTCGAGAGACAAAATCAGAGGCAGAGAGAGAATATAAATTTTTTTATAGGAGGGAAAATAATCGATCGCGCGCGATATCGATATATAATAGAACAACGAGCTTGAACCAAAGGATATGTATCCCTTCTTATCAATTTTCAACGAAGAAGAGAGATAAAAAGTCGCGACGGGACGAAGAATCGCCTTATCTCTTCCTTCTTTTTCTCTCGCGTGATACTACGTGTGCCGTGATATTTCGTAGATTTCGGTGGTATCCCGTTATCGCTACGTGAAACGCGAATCCACGAACACGACGAATAATTTCCACCTTACGAAACTTTCTCGTTTTCTCTCTTTCTCTCTCTCTCTCTCTCTCTCTCTCTTTGCTTTGCTTTATCGTTCATCGTGTATCGACGAGGGAAACACGCATGATAAACGACAACACTTCCGATTGCTCGAAGAAACGAAAAATAAATCTTTCTCGATCAAAGGCTAAAAAAAAAAGAAGGTTTTCGAGATAAGAGGCAGCGATTACAGTCGCGTCCAGATAACGCCTTATCTAGATAAAAAACACCTCGACGATATCACGAATTCGTTCTCGCTCGATGTTAATATGTTTGTGAAAGATGTCTTGCTTTGCATAATATCGACAAAGATAGCGAAACAAACGGCGAGTCAGTGAGAGAGAGAGAGAGAGAGAGAGAGAGAGAGAGAGAGAGAGAGAGAGGTACG